AATATTAAAATTTAAACTATTATTAATTTATTTTTAAAAAATTTTCAAATTTAAAATATTATTAATTATTTTAAAAAATATTAAAATTTAAACTATTATAAATTCAAATTAAAAATTTCAGATTTTAAAGAAATTTAATTGCTGATGATTAAAAATAATTATGCTTTATTGTTTTCTGCAAAATTTACAATTAATAACTAATGGAATATCATCAAAAAAATCATCGTATTCAATAGCTGTTGTCCTATAATGTTTATTACAACGTCTGTACTTCATGATGTCCTTATCCTCCTAAAAAGCTGCTGGTAGTTTTGACCAAATACTGTTGATTTTGTCAGCAGCACATCCAATAATAAAATATTTAGGTAGCATGGCAATATCTTGAGGTCTCATATCTTCAATACTCAACTTGCAGAATAATTTCAGTGATTTTTCAAGAGATGGATTTCCACAGTAATTTTTAACAAACCATTCTTTCAATTTTTTAACATTCTCTAAAGCACACCAGTACAAGTTGGCCTGCTGTGTATGGTTGCTACAGAAATGACAAGTGTAATCTTGGCGTTTTTTCAGCGGTGGACAGTCCAAATTCTCCAAGTCAATAATTATCTTTGACTTTACAATATCCTGTAGCCAGCGTTTTTTCTCCAAACCCTTGACGTATATAAACTGCTTGTCAGCCACTGCTTTTTCTATAACTTGGTTGAGTTTGTTGTAAGCAACTTGTCCTTGAGTCCAGGAAATTTTATGACAAGCAGCAATGATGGCTTTGTTAAGTCGCTGGTAGTGTAACGATTGAAAGTCCCAAGGGTAAGGTGGTTTGAAGACTGTACTTGATATTTCTTCAATCTCCTGGTCAATGGTGATCCAAGCCAGCTCCTTGGCTATGAAAATTTCACCTTGAAATCCTTGAACATCGATTATAATTTCCATGATGTTTCCAAGTTGAAGAGAGAATTAGAACTGAACTGCTGGGAACTCGCGATGTTTATATAATATCAACCATGGAAAGCTGCGATTGGTTGTTGGTGAGTAGTGGGAGAAACGGTTCGCAGTGAGAAAGGGGTAATGATGCTAGAAAGATGATGCAACAGAAAGGATCGATTGCTAGCTTCAAGATGGAGGTTATGACGCAGCGTCAGAAAGGATGATGCAACAAACAGACGCGATGACTAGTCTCAAGATGGAGGTTATGACGCAGCGTTAGAAAGGATGACGCAACAAACAGACGCGATGGCTAGACTCAAGATGGAGGTTATGACGCCACGTCAGAGAAGATGATGAAATAGATGATTTGTGGTGGGGGTTGAAGAAAGGCTGACGCAATCGTGAGTATATAAAAGCGGATATCTTCGCGAGCATTTTCATTATTGAAGTGAATCTTATACAGTGAAGAACCTCTACAAGAACAGAATTTATAATCAAGTGCTACTAGAACGGAATCTACGATCAAGTGCTACAACCAAGTGCTACGACCGAGTGCTACAAGAACGAATCTCTCTACTCAGCGCTTCACAGTTCTTTTTAAAGAGACTTTGTAAAGGAACTCTTCAAGTCAAAATGGATTTGAAGACAGTTATCACCAACTTGGTTTCATCAGTCATTACAGCTTTTGAAGAACTCAGCCAGCTTAATCAAGTTCCTCAAGCTACAAGTTTGAGGTGGTTTGATATCTGTGAGGACAATGCTCAATACTACAGCACCATTCTACTCGATCCAACATCAAACGTCCATCTCCGACAATCTCTACAGTCAAACATTGCTCTCCTAAACACGTATGGAGAAAAATTCTTAGGATTGAGCCATAGAGTTGTTGGTGGTGATCTTGGCAATCGAGCTGCTGCTACCATCAAGTGGCAGGACATGGAGAGTGCATTCGAGGGTAGAATCAAGACGGGATGTGTCATTAATCTCCGTCACGCTGACTTGAAGACCTTCTTGAACGATGCTGAAAACTTAATTATTGAGAAAGTTCAAGAAGCCATGCAGCAGCATGGGAGTCTGAAAGTCAATAGCCTGCTCCTTTGTCGATTTGAATGTCATAAGAATGATGCTGTTGTTGTAGAAACCAAGTCATTCCAGAGTAAGAGTTCTACAATTTTAGCTGAAACAGGATTGCATGAATGGTATCAAGAAAGCGTAGTGAGTCAAACGTTAAGATAAGTTGACGAGCTTCAAGAAAATCAGTCAGGTTGGAGTTTATCAGAAACTCTCAACCTGACTGTTAATATTTCAAGATTTACACCACTACAAGCGGGAATTTCAACGTTTGTTCAAGTCCCAGGTGACATTCGGAAGAAGGAAGGTGTAGTCAATATAATCAATGAGGATCACTACTGCTTTCTTTGGTGTGTTGTTGCGGCTTTATATCCAGTAAAATCAAATAGGAATTTACCATCATCTTATCCATATCCCAGCTCAGTATTGGATCATACTGGAATAAAATTTCCAATAGAATTGAAGGATATACCATTATTTGAAAAAATGAATGATTTAAGAATTAATGTGTACGGTATAGAGTCAAAAGAAAATGAAAAAGATCCTAGTGTCATTATTCCTCTATACTTAAGTTCAAATCTTGAGTGTGAGAAAGATACCATTCATCTGCTTATGATTGGAACAAACTTGACATTGAACAAAGATGATAGTATTGAAAATCACAAACCTATATTTCATTTTGCATGGATACGAAATCTTTCAAGATTAGTAGGAAGTAGTGTTAAAAAGGGACACTACAAGTTATTCTTCTGTGATCGTTGTCTCTGTCATTTCAGACATGAAGCATCATTTAAACGACACCAATCTGACTATCTCCAATACAACAAAGTAAGAATGACTCTACCCAGCGAAAAAAATAAAATACTATCATTCAGAGATCATAAATACAAAGATCCAGTACCGTTTGTTGTATACGCGGATCTTGAAAGCGTCCTGAAGGAGGAAACAGAAGATATTCAAAAGCATACACCTCACAGTTTAGCTTATTTCTTACATTGCAGTTATGACAATTCACTGTCCAAGTTTAATTTAAATCGTTCAGAAGATTGTATTAAGTGGTTTGTACAAGAAATTGAGTCAATAAGCCACCAAGTCAGTGGTTATTTAAAAAATCCAAAACCTCTACCAAAGTTGACTGATGAAGAACAGAAGTCATTTGATGAAGCAGTGAATTGTCATATCTGCAATGAGCCATTTAAATCTGCCAATGATAAGAAAGTAAGAGATCACTGTCACTTCACCGGGAAATTCAGAGGAGCTGCTCATAACTCCTGTAACTTAAATTTTAAAAAAAGTCACATCATTCCAATAGTTTTTCACAATTTATCCGGCTATGACTGTCATTTTATCTTAGAGTCTGTAGCAACAGTTTTCAATGGTTCAGTTGAAATATTACCTATTAATAAAGAAAAGTACATTGCATTTACCAAAACTGTAGACGACACCAATATTCATCTCAGATTCATCGACTCATTTAGATTCATGGCATCGAGTATTGACAAACTTTCATCATACTTAACTGACAATGACATGAAAATCACACGACAGTTTTACTCTGACCCAGAACAACTTAAACTTGTAACGAGTAAGGGAATATTTCCCTATGAATACGTGGACAGTTTAGAGAAATTAGACGAGACTGAACTACCAGACAGACAAGCTTTTTACTCTCGACTGAGTGATAAACACATTAGTGACGAAGACTACTCGTTTGCTCAAACAGTATGAAATAAATTCAACATACAGACTCTTGGTGAATACTCTGATCTCTATTTGAAAACAGATGTCTTACTATTGGCAGATATCTTTGAAAATTTCCGTGCAAGTTGTTACAAAACTTATGAGTTAGACGCTCTACATTATTATACTGCTCCAGGACTTGCTTTTTCCGCCATGCTCAAACATACAGGGGTGCAACTTGAGCTATTACTATACCCCGAAAAGATACTGTTTTTTGAGAAAAGTCTCCGTGGTAGAGTATCTCAATGTGCCAATCGATACGCCAAGGCCAACAACCGTTACATGGGTGAAGACTTCAATCCAGAAGAAGATGAGTCCTACATCATGTATCTGGACGTAAACAACCTCTGCGGAGCTGCAATGAGCATGTCTCTTCCTCAAGGCTCCTTTGAGTGGGAGGAAAAGATCACAGAGGAGAATATCAATATTCAACTCTGATGAATCTATCGGATATGTACTTGAGGTTGACTTGGAATATCCTGGAGATTTACATGAACTCCGGAAAAGACATGCCATTGTGTCCAGAAGACTTCACTCTACCAGGCAGCAAGACTCGTAAGCTAGCTACAACACTACAACCAAAAATGAATTATGTGATTCATTACAAAAACTTGGAACAGTGCTTGCAACTTGGAATGAATCTTATAAAAGTTCACCGAGTATTAAAGTTTGCGCAGTCACCATGGCTCAAACCTTACATCGACAAGAACACCGAGTGTCGTAAAAATGCTGCCAATGAGTTTGAAAATAACTTTTTCAAACTCATGAACAACGCAGTGTTTGGTAAGACTATGGAGAATGTGCGTAAACATAAGGATATCAAGCTAGTAAACAAGTGGCTCGGTCGATATGGTGCAAAAAAGTTGATTTCAAAATCAAACTTTAACAGCTTCACAATTTTCGGGGAAAATCTAGTAATAGTTGAGATGAATAAATTGAACGTTTACTTCAATAAACCGATTTATGTTGGCTTCAGTATCTTGGACTTATCGAAGATATTTGTGTATGATTTTCATTATAAATATGTTAAGCAGAATTTCGACAATGACGCTGCTAAGCTGCTCTATACCGACACAGACAGTCTCATCTATCACTTCAAGGTGCCTGATATTTTTCAAATCATCAAACGTGATATGTACCTGAAGTTCCGAACGTTCGTAAAAAAAATAGTATTTTTTAAAAATAAGAACACTGGATCGGATTAGCAAGCTGATTTTTAGTGAGCTTCTTCATTTTCAACCTAGAAAGCCACACAAAAATCATCAACCCTCTAGTACCTCCGGAACAACCCCTAAAACCAACCCTTATATTATAAAAATTTGTATAGCCTATGATAATTGGGTTAGCAAGCTGATTTTTTATAAGCTTCTTCATTTCAAACCTATGAAGCCTTAAAAAAATCATCAACCCCCTAGGACCTCCGGAACAACCCCTAACACCCACCCTAATGTTATACAAATTCGTATAGATAAGGCTAATTAGGTTAGCAAGCTGATTATTTATAGGCTTCTTCATTTCAAACCTATGAAGCCTCAAAAAAATCATCAACCCCCTAGGACCTCTAAATTAAAAATTGACTTAAAAAAAATTATTTCTCGGTGTCCACTGGAGATTAAGGAAAAAAAACTTATGGGAATCATAGAGTACACTCTTATAAAGATTCTCATACCTTCAATTGATCGATCAACCCCATGGACACCGAGTATAATACCCGTGTAGGCGATTTTTAACTAAATTTATTAAAAAATGACGGTTAAAAAAATTATTTCTCGGTGTCACTTGGAGATTAAGGAAAAAAAACTTATGGAAATTATAGAGTACACTCTTATAAAGATTCCCATACCTTCAATCGATCGATCAACCCCATGGACACCGAGTAAAAGCCCTACAAAGGCGATTTTTAACTAAATTTATTAAAAATTAACTTAAAAAAAATTATTTCTCGGTGTCAACTAGAGATTAAGGAAAAAAAACTTATGGAAATTATAGAGTACACTCTTATAAAGATTCCCATACCTTCAATCGATCGATCAACCCCATGGACACCGAGTAAAAGCCCTACAAAGGCGATTTTTAACTAAATTTATTAAAAATTAACTTAAAAAAAATTATTTCTCGGTGTCAACTAGAGATTAAGGAAAAAAAACTTATGGAAATTATAGAGTACACTCTTATAAAGATTCCCATACCTTCAATCGATCGATCAACCCCATGGACACCGAGTAAAAGCCCTACAAAGGCGATTTTTAACTAAATTTATTAAAAATTAACTTAAAAAAAATTATTTCTCGGTGTCAACTAGAGATTAAGGAAAAAAAACTTATGGAGATTATAGAGTACACTCTTATACTGATTCCCATAGCTTTAATCGATCGATCTACCCCATAAACACCGAGTATAAGCCCTACAAAGGCGATTATTAACATAATTTATTAAAAATTGACGGTTAATAAATTATTTCTCGGTGTCCACTGGAGATTAAGGAAAAAAAACTCATGGGAATCATAGAGTACACTCTTATAAAGATTCCCATACCTTCAATCGATCGATCAACCCCATGGACACCGAGTATAAGCCCTACAAAGGCGATTTTTAACTAAATTTATTAAAAAATGACGGTTAAAAAATTATTTCACGGTGTCCACTGGAGATTAAGGAAAAAAAACTCATGGGAATCATAGAGTACACTCTTATAAAGATCTTCATAGCTTTAATCGATCGATCTACCCCATAAACACCGAGTATAAGCCCTACAAAGGCGATTATTAACATAATTTATTAAAAATTGACGGTTAATAAATTATTTCTCGGTGTCCACTGGAGATTAAGGAAAAAAAACTCATGGGAATCATAGAGTACACTCTTATAAAGATCTTCATAGCTTTAATCGATCGATCTACCCCATAAACACCGAGTATAAGCCCTACAAAGGCGATTATTAACATAATTTATTAAAAATTGACGGTTAATAAATTATTTCTCGGTGTCCACTGGAGATTAAGGAAAAAAAACTCATGGGAATCATAGAGTACACTCTTATAAAGATCTTCATAGCTTTAATCGATCGATCTACCCCATAAACACCGAGTATAAGCCCTACAAAGGCGATTATTAACATAATTTATTAAAAATTGACGGTTAATAAATTATTTCTCGGTGTCCACTGGAGATTAAGGAAAAAAAACTCATGGGAATCATAGAGTACACTCTTATAAAGATCTTCATAGCTTTAATCGATCGATCTACCCCATAAACACCGAGTATAAGCCCTACAAAGGCGATTATTAACATAATTTATTAAAAATTGACGGTTAATAAATTATTTCTCGGTGTCCACTGGAGATTAAGGAAAAAAAACTCATGGGAATCATAGAGTACACTCTTATAAAGATTCCCATACCTTCAATCGATCGATCAACCCCATGGACACCGAGTATAAGCCCTACAAAGGCGATTTTTAACTAAATTTATTAAAAATTAACTTAAAAAAAATTATTTCTCGGTGTCCACTGGAGATTAAGGAAAAAAAACTCATGGGAATCATAGAGTACACTCTTATAAAGATCTTCATAGCTTTAATCGATCGATCTACCCCATAAACACCGAGTATAAGCCCTACAAAGGCGATTTTTAACTAAATTTATTAAAAATTAACTTAAAAAAAATTATTTCTCGGTGTCCACTGGAGATTAAGGAAAAAAAACTCATGGGAATCATAGAGTACACTCTTATAAAGATCTTCATAGCTTTAATCGATCGATCTACCCCATAAACACCGAGTATAAGCCCTACAAAGGCGATTTTTAACTAAATTTATTAAAAATTAACTTAAAAAAAATTATTTCTCGGTGTCCACTGGAGATTAAGGAAAAAAAACTCATGGGAATCATAGAGTACACTCTTATAAAGATCTTCATAGCTTTAATCGATCGATCTACCCCATAAACACCGAGTATAAGCCCTACAAAGGCGATTTTTAACTAAATTTATTAAAAATTAACTTAAAAAAAATTATTTCTCGGTGTCCACTGGAGATTAAGGAAAAAAAACTCATGGGAATCATAGAGTACACTCTTATAAAGATCTTCATAGCTTTAATCGATCGATCTACCCCATAAACACCGAGTATAAGCCCTACAAAGGCGATTTTTAACTAAATTTATTAAAAATTAACTTAAAAAAAATTATTTCTCGGTGTCCACTGGAGATTAAGGAAAAAAAACTCATGGGAATCATAGAGTACACTCTTATAAAGATCTTCATAGCTTTAATCGATCGATCTACCCCATAAACACCGAGTATAAGCCCTACAAAGGCGATTTTTAACTAAATTTATTAAAAATTAACTTAAAAAAAATTATTTCTCGGTGTCCACTGGAGATTAAGGAAAAAAAACTCATGGGAATCATAGAGTACACTCTTATAAAGATCTTCATAGCTTTAATCGATCGATCTACCCCATAAACACCGAGTATAAGCCCTACAAAGGCGATTTTTAACTAAATTTATTAAAAATTAACTTAAAAAAAATTATTTCTCGGTGTCCACTGGAGATTAAGGAAAAAAAACTCATGGGAATCATAGAGTACACTCTTATAAAGATCTTCATAGCTTTAATCGATCGATCTACCCCATAAACACCGAGTATAAGCCCTACAAAGGCGATTTTTAACTAAATTTATTAAAAATTAACTTAAAAAAAATTATTTCTCGGTGTCCACTGGAGATTAAGGAAAAAAAACTCATGGGAATCATAGAGTACACTCTTATAAAGATCTTCATAGCTTTAATCGATCGATCTACCCCATAAACACCGAGTATAAGCCCTACAAAGGCGATTTTTAACTAAATTTATTAAAAATTAACTTAAAAAAAATTATTTCTCGGTGTCCACTGGAGATTAAGGAAAAAAAACTCATGGGAATCATAGAGTACACTCTTATAAAGATCTTCATAGCTTTAATCGATCGATCTACCCCATAAACACCGAGTATAAGCCCTACAAAGGCGATTTTTAACTAAATTTATTAAAAATTAACTTAAAAAAAATTATTTCTCGGTGTCCACTGGAGATTAAGGAAAAAAAACTCATGGGAATCATAGAGTACACTCTTATAAAGATCTTCATAGCTTTAATCGATCGATCTACCCCATAAACACCGAGTATAAGCCCTACAAAGGCGATTTTTAACTAAATTTATTAAAAATTAACTTAAAAAAAATTATTTCTCGGTGTCCACTGGAGATTAAGGAAAAAAAACTCATGGGAATCATAGAGTACACTCTTATAAAGATCTTCATAGCTTTAATCGATCGATCTACCCCATAAACACCGAGTATAAGCCCTACAAAGGCGATTTTTAACTAAATTTATTAAAAATTAACTTAAAAAAAATTATTTCTCGGTGTCCACTGGAGATTAAGGAAAAAAAACTCATGGGAATCATAGAGTACACTCTTATAAAGATCTTCATAGCTTTAATCGATCGATCTACCCCATAAACACCGAGTATAAGCCCTACAAAGGCGATTTTTAACTAAATTTATTAAAAATTAACTTAAAAAAAATTATTTCTCGGTGTCCACTGGAGATTAAGGAAAAAAAACTCATGGGAATCATAGAGTACACTCTTATAAAGATCTTCATAGCTTTAATCGATCGATCTACCCCATAAACACCGAGTATAAGCCCTACAAAGGCGATTTTTAACTAAATTTATTAAAAATTAACTTAAAAAAAATTATTTCTCGGTGTCCACTGGAGATTAAGGAAAAAAAACTCATGGGAATCATAGAGTACACTCTTATAAAGATCTTCATAGCTTTAATCGATCGATCTACCCCATAAACACCGAGTATAAGCCCTACAAAGGCGATTTTTAACTAAATTTATTAAAAATTAACTTAAAAAAAATTATTTCTCGGTGTCCACTGGAGATTAAGGAAAAAAAACTCATGGGAATCATAGAGTACACTCTTATAAAGATCTTCATAGCTTTAATCGATCGATCTACCCCATAAACACCGAGTATAAGCCCTACAAAGGCGATTTTTAACTAAATTTATTAAAAATTAACTTAAAAAAAATTATTTCTCGGTGTCCACTGGAGATTAAGGAAAAAAAACTCATGGGAATCATAGAGTACACTCTTATAAAGATCTTCATAGCTTTAATCGATCGATCTACCCCATAAACACCGAGTATAAGCCCTACAAAGGCGATTTTTAACTAAATTTATTAAAAATTAACTTAAAAAAAATTATTTCTCGGTGTCCACTGGAGATTAAGGAAAAAAAACTCATGGGAATCATAGAGTACACTCTTATAAAGATCTTCATAGCTTTAATCGATCGATCTACCCCATAAACACCGAGTATAAGCCCTACAAAGGCGATTTTTAACTAAATTTATTAAAAATTAACTTAAAAAAAATTATTTCTCGGTGTCCACTGGAGATTAAGGAAAAAAAACTCATGGGAATCATAGAGTACACTCTTATAAAGATCTTCATAGCTTTAATCGATCGATCTACCCCATAAACACCGAGTATAAGCCCTACAAAGGCGATTTTTAACTAAATTTATTAAAAATTAACTTAAAAAAAATTATTTCTCGGTGTCCACTGGAGATTAAGGAAAAAAAACTCATGGGAATCATAGAGTACACTCTTATAAAGATCTTCATAGCTTTAATCGATCGATCTACCCCATAAACACCGAGTATAAGCCCTACAAAGGCGATTTTTAACTAAATTTATTAAAAATTAACTTAAAAAAAATTATTTCTCGGTGTCCACTGGAGATTAAGGAAAAAAAACTCATGGGAATCATAGAGTACACTCTTATAAAGATCTTCATAGCTTTAATCGATCGATCTACCCCATAAACACCGAGTATAAGCCCTACAAAGGCGATTTTTAACTAAATTTATTAAAAATTAACTTAAAAAAAATTATTTCTCGGTGTCCACTGGAGATTAAGGAAAAAAAACTCATGGGAATCATAGAGTACACTCTTATAAAGATCTTCATAGCTTTAATCGATCGATCTACCCCATAAACACCGAGTATAAGCCCTACAAAGGCGATTTTTAACTAAATTTATTAAAAATTAACTTAAAAAAAATTATTTCTCGGTGTCCACTGGAGATTAAGGAAAAAAAACTCATGGGAATCATAGAGTACACTCTTATAAAGATCTTCATAGCTTTAATCGATCGATCTACCCCATAAACACCGAGTATAAGCCCTACAAAGGCGATTTTTAACTAAATTTATTAAAAATTAACTTAAAAAAAATTATTTCTCGGTGTCCACTGGAGATTAAGGAAAAAAAACTCATGGGAATCATAGAGTACACTCTTATAAAGATCTTCATAGCTTTAATCGATCGATCTACCCCATAAACACCGAGTATAAGCCCTACAAAGGCGATTTTTAACTAAATTTATTAAAAATTAACTTAAAAAAAATTATTTCTCGGTGTCCACTGGAGATTAAGGAAAAAAAACTCATGGGAATCATAGAGTACACTCTTATAAAGATCTTCATAGCTTTAATCGATCGATCTACCCCATAAACACCGAGTATAAGCCCTACAAAGGCGATTTTTAACTAAATTTATTAAAAATTAACTTAAAAAAAATTATTTCTCGGTGTCCACTGGAGATTAAGGAAAAAAAACTCATGGGAATCATAGAGTACACTCTTATAAAGATCTTCATAGCTTTAATCGATCGATCTACCCCATAAACACCGAGTATAAGCCCTACAAAGGCGATTTTTAACTAAATTTATTAAAAATTAACTTAAAAAAAATTATTTCTCGGTGTCCACTGGAGATTAAGGAAAAAAAACTCATGGGAATCATAGAGTACACTCTTATAAAGATCTTCATAGCTTTAATCGATCGATCTACCCCATAAACACCGAGTATAAGCCCTACAAAGGCGATTTTTAACTAAATTTATTAAAAATTAACTTAAAAAAAATTATTTCTCGGTGTCCACTGGAGATTAAGGAAAAAAAACTCATGGGAATCATAGAGTACACTCTTATAAAGATCTTCATAGCTTTAATCGATCGATCTACCCCATAAACACCGAGTATAAGCCCTACAAAGGCGATTTTTAACTAAATTTATTAAAAATTAACTTAAAAAAAATTATTTCTCGGTGTCCACTGGAGATTAAGGAAAAAAAACTCATGGGAATCATAGAGTACACTCTTATAAAGATCTTCATAGCTTTAATCGATCGATCTACCCCATAAACACCGAGTATAAGCCCTACAAAGGCGATTTTTAACTAAATTTATTAAAAATTAACTTAAAAAAAATTATTTCTCGGTGTCCACTGGAGATTAAGGAAAAAAAACTCATGGGAATCATAGAGTACCCCCTAGGACCTCCGGAACAACCCCTAACACCCACCCTTATATTATAAAAACTCGTATGGCCTCGGCTAATCGGGTTAGCAAGCTAATTTTTTACAAGCTTCTTCATTTCGAACCTATAAAGCCTTGAAAAAATCATCAACCCCCTAGGACCGCCGAAACAACCCCTAACACCTACCCGAATATTATAAACCACTAACACCTACCTTAATATTATGAAAATTAAGGAAGAAAACTTATGGGAATCATAGAGTACACTCTTATAAAGATTTCCATACTTTCAATTGATCGATCAATCCCATGGACACCGAGTATAAGCTCTATAAGGGCGATTTTTGGCTAAATTTTTTAAAAATTGACGGTTAAAAAATTATTTCTCGGTGTTCACTGGAGATTAAGGAAAAAAAACTTATGGGAATTATAGAGTTCACTCTTATAAAGATTCCCATACCTTTAATTGATCGATCAACCCCATGGACACTGAGTATAAGCCCTATAAGTGCGATTTTTGGCTAAATTTATTAAAAAATGACGGTTAAAAAAATTATTTCTCGGTGTCACTTGGAGATTAAGGAAAAAAAACTTATGAGAATTATAGAGTACACTCTTATGAAGATTCCTATACCTTTAATTGATCGATCAACCCCATGGACACTGAGTATAAGCCCTATAAGGGCGAATTTTGGCTAAATTTATTAAAAAATGACGGTTAAAAAATTATTTCTCGGTGTCAACTGGACATTAAGGAAAAAAAACTTATGGGAATTATAGAGTACACTCTTATGAAGATTCCTATACCTTCAATTGATCGATCAACCCCATAGACACCGAGTATAAGCCCTACAAAGGCGATTTTTAACTAAATTTATTAAAAATTGACTTAAAAAAAATATTTCTCGGTGTCAACTGGAGATTAAGGAAAAAAAACTTATGGGAATTATAGAGTACACTCTTATGAAGATTCCTATACCTTTAATTGATCGATCAACCCCATAGACACCGAGTATACGCCCTACAAATGCGATTTTTAACTAAATTTATTAAAAATTGACGGTTAAAAAATTATTTCTCGGTGTCAACTGGAGATTAAGGAAAAAAAACTTATGGGAATCATAGAGTACACTCTTATAAAGATTCCCATACCTTCAATTGATTGATCAACCCCATGGACACCGAGTATAAGCCCTATAAGGGCGATTTTTGGCTAAATTTATTAAAAATTGACATAAAAAAAATTATTTCTCGGTGTCCACTGGAGATTAAGGAAAAAAAACTCATGGGAATCATAGATTACACTCTTGTAAAGATTTCCATACAGCCCTATAAGTGTTGACTTTTGACTAAATTGACATCCTTAACTCTAGTTCTTTTAAAATGAATATCATTATGACCAGAGTAAAGCCGACGATAATATTTCAATTTTTTATTTTTCAAATCACGTTAACAATGTTCATGACATGTTATTTCATTTTATTTTTTTTATTAAAAAAAAATCAACAACACCAGGCCAATAACCAGATTACAAAAATTTACAATATTCTTAATCTTAATGTTGCATTTAGCTAATGGTAAATAATAACAATATTATTATTTTATATAAAATAACGAAACATACTATTACAATTTTTATACAAAGTTGTACACTATAATATTTTAATGCTATTTTTTTTATGATCGTATTTTTTTAGTTCTACTTTTTATCATTCTGAGTTATTCCTTTTATATATTTTTTTTACAATTATTTCTTATTACATTTACTGTTATTGTTATTAACTTTTTCGTTTGTCGATATTAGCCAGTATAAGTATTCGATTATTTTTAGATCCGTAATAAATTCAATTTCTTTCATAAATTTACTTAAATTTTCATGTGGGATTACTTGTATCTCCGGCATAGTCTATTTATAGTTTCCCTCTTTATTTCTTGAACAATTTTTCTTCTTCGGTGGTTCATAATACTCAACTCTTTCTTCATCTTCTGTATCCATTCCATCAAGCCTCCGACATTTGTTATGAACTTGTCTGTGGCACATAATGCAAGCAATATGCTTTTCCGTATCAATTCCCCGAAAGCAATATAAGCATTTATTCTCTAAGCCCAATGAATGCTCCATAATGAAGTGTATAATTGTTTCTCGATATTTTTCGGGATCCAAGGTTTCATTCATTTCCCGATTTTGTCCAATACATTGTGCATAGTACATTACATAAACTGCAGAATTAAATTTATCAGTCAGTTTCTGAAGAGATCGATCTCGTGGAATCTTAACGATCCAATTTGCTGCTATCATAGATTTTTTGTTCGATTGACGATTACATTTGTTAATGTAACTCGTTACTGCATTTGTTATTTTTGTCGGATTTTTTACTCTATTGTACGGGTCTAGGATTTCGATCGATTTTTCCGTTTCGCTAACTACCAATAGTATCCAGTGTTCTTGTTCGTAATACGGTATGAGAATGGTTCCACACGAGGTATTATTTTTAGTGTAATATTTTTCATGAACTTGTTCATTACTATCTCTTTTACTTTTACTTTTTATCACTACGCTAGCTACTTCAGCTGATTGGTAAAATACATTTGTACTTTTGTCAGCGTTCATAGCAGCAAATATGTCAATAGTTTCAGCGTCAACGGATCCTCTCCTATATAATAAATTTCTAAGTTGTTTTCCATTCATTGTTATTTCTTTTTTCAATATGAAGTTCTCAGTTGTAGGGTAGTAATAAGCAATTACGATGATGAGAGACTTCGTATTGGCATAATAATTCACGTCATTTACTAAACCATTTTTTAACAACAACAACTTATGTAGTTCTGAATTCTCAATTGATAAATCGTTTGCAGCAAATTTCTTTTGCTGCTTGTTTTTTTTTGTATCTTTGACCTTTTCCTGGGGGGTACTTATCTTTTCCGTTTCTTCCGGAATTTCTGTTAATTTTAGAATTTTTTTTCCATCCATATGTCTAATTTTTCGTTTTCTTACTTTTTTTTCTTCATTATTATCACTTTCAATCTTACGATTCCACAACAATCCATCTAAAGAATTCTCTGTTATTTTACGATATAGGTCATACTGAGTACCTTTTAATTTTTTGCTTAATTCACACTTGCTTAAAATATTTTCCTTTACAAGATTTTCATTGTTCTCTTGCAACTTCCGACATACTTTTCCAATTGGCCAACGTTTTTCATTTTTTAAAACCCAATACTTATATGTTCGCATATGGGATTCTGCGTAATTGTTCGAAATTCGTGAAATTTCTCGATCGAGCAAATCCATCATCATTGCAGTCCACAACGGACAATACGCCATGAATGTTGTTAGTAAATAATGTATGAACTGCGGAAAATATAAACCGTTCGTAATTTTCAAAGTAGCATCTGAACGCATCTGGTCTTTTTTCCCTTCAACAAGTAAATAATAACGTCTGTAGAATGGTGACTTTGCATAAATAGTTGGATTCTTCTTAAATAGACGTTTGAATTCTTCCCAAGTCATTTCTGTTTCATCATTTTCTTGTGGAACTTCAAAATTTTCCAGTAATTTTGCCATTTTTGTATTTTCAATTTTCCTTTAATAAACTTTCGATTCGTTCTTTACATTTACCTCGATCTTTCTCCAGAAATACATCGCAAATAAAAGCAAACAGTGTGTCCATTTCTTCAAGCTTTCGAGTCATTATCATTAATCCCATAATTTCCATCACTAATCCTTTATTATGCTGCAATTTTGGAAAATCACTATCTACTGTTCTTGAAACACGATGCATTATGAGCGCAGCAACTCAATAACAAAGTCACCGGTGGCATACGAGTACCTTTCGTTAAGTATAAGTATGCATCGTCTAGGTAAGCATTAATATCGGTATTATTCCATTCCATTAATATACTGTGCATTGATGCCCAGCTCCAATCTTCAACTATCGCATCAAAATATGGCCACTTGTTTTCTATTGAAACTACGAATGCTCTGTATTGCTTGAGAAACTTTGATAGACTTGTGATATCATGTTCTGACGTAATCATCTCACATAAAGGCACAGTTGAAATCGACGCACGATACACTAAAAAATAATAAAAAATGTATTTCTGTTTTAAACCCGGGATTGGTCTTACATAAGCACCAGTGGCATCAAGGTGAACAATATTTGGTGTGCGTGCATTGTCCACTACTTTCAGCTGTTGTTTTGTGTACATTACGACTGTCAAAGGCAAACCAACAGAACGTACAAAACTATCTGGTTTTTGACTTGATTCAATCCACAATTTCGTAAGGTCGGTAAGATCAGTTGATTCTGGTTTTGATGTTGGCGGATTTTCAAATTCTTCGGTATTTAAGATTTCATATCTATAGCTTTGGATGCTAATAGGCATTCGTATATTCTTTTGACATTCCGGATGGATGTTTACACTGCTATAATAGGTAAATGTGAAGATATTTCTGTCTATTTCAACAATATTTATCATAAATTTTGGGTTATGAGCTGAATGCAAACATCGTCCATACATAGTGCCAATATTCGTATATTTGCTCTGCCTGGTATTCAATTCGAAAGGACAATAACATTTCCACGTTATTAATAAATTTTCCATTATATTTTCTATCAGTTTTCCTTTCATAATTTTTTCTTCGTCGGTTAAAGGTTCGCTAATTAATGTAGCTTTGCCAACCTCTACATGATAATATTTGTTTTTATCCGTAATTTGTTTAGCTTTTTTACTGTTAACTTCAGTTTCCGTTAATACTTCACTATCTTCCGATTCAGATTGATTTTTTCCTTCATCTTCAGAACTGTCAGTGTCAGATTCTTCTGACACAACAATTAAAACGTTACTTCTTTTCTCATAGGTAGATTTTAATTCTTGTGGTGTAGATTTCTCTGCTTCGTCTGCTGTACTTGGTGTATTTAATGAAACTTTGTTAAATAACTCGTTATTTCGGAACGGCTGGATGGGTTCATCATCATTTGAATCGTTATTGAAATCATACATATCATTTCTTCTATTTTTCGCTGTTGGAAATCCTTCCAAGGCGGACATTTTACTTCAACTTTCTCGTCCAAGCCTGTAAGATATTGAAATGTTATATTACATAATATAAAAATTTAATTAATTGGGAAATGTTCTAATATCTTGACTTTTGTGTATTTCAATGTTTTCTCACGGATTTTTTATGAACGAGAAAGGGAATGCTTAAATATATTCATGTAGCATATCAATAACGCCTATCAACAGAAAATTTTAAGTTATACTTTGTATGATTCAAAGCTATAGTCTTCATTATTCTAAATAATTCGCGTTTCAAATGCTATAAGGCCATATAATGGTTAACGGTTCCATTGGAAAGGCATAAAGCCGTATGAAAAATTTGATATCAAATATCTCGCGTTCTAAATATCCAAAGTATTGCCATTTCAATACTTTCTAACAGTGTCCTAAAATCGAAAGTGGACCTACAAATAAAAATGTCTGTTACCAATCCGAACTGCTAATGTGAATGTAAATTTTTGCTTGAATCGATTATATTAACTAATTTTTGTTTTCACAATACGGAAGTAATTTTTTTCATTTTCGAACCTTTAAAACTCTACAACGGTGGGTCGTAAGAAAATTTTGACTTATGAATTTTTAAGAGAATTTTACGCTCTACGGAAAAAGTTTCCAACGAAAGTTCTTAAAATTATTTGTTGTCTACACGCAAAAAGATTTCCTTGAAAAATCACTTTTAAATTAACGATAATCGTTGGGCAGATGGCACCGCCGGATCATTTTTTTAATAAGTTAAGATAATTTTTCAGTTTTTAACTTCCCGCTAAAAATC